GGGAGCCTCGAGCAGAGAAGTTGAACGTTCATATTGGGGAGGGGGGAAGGTAAGGGGGGAGATTACGAGCATAAAAAGGGGGGGGTAGGAAGAGCAGGAGGGGGGGGGGGGTGTTTTCATTCCTGAATGGCTGTCACGTCTTTAGTGGAGCCCTTCAGTGCTTTGGGTGCTGCAAACAGTGTAACTGACATTGAGATATTTAGTTGGAGTAGTGCGCATGTTTGGAGAAAAATTCTTGAACCTGTAATAAAATGACTCGCGCAATCAAGGCAGCTGTGGGGGCCGGCGTCCACCCCTACCACTCCCTCCTCCACCGCATCGATCGTCCCCCGCCGACCGGGTGATCGGCCCATCCGCATTAGCGAGCGCCCCCTCTGAAGGGACGTAGCTAAACTGCTGGCTCACCGCCGCGCGGGGTTATTCCGCACACACACACCAACACTAATGCTACAGCAGCGGCGAGCACGCGCGTGCCCCTGCCGGCGATCAGATTCTATAATGCACACGCCCCACGATTAACACTACAGCGACTGTAAGAACGCGCGCGTGCTGACGGGTGGTTATGCACTACCCCGCACCTGCGCGTGCCGGCGGACATTCGCTCCACGCACACTCGAATCACAACACTGCGCCGATGCTCTGTGCTACCGTTTTTATTTATTCATGGCGCATAACTCTGCACTGCCCAGAGGGAATATTGTGCGAGCAGAGCCTATCCTATTACTAGCCAATTCTCCAGATATTCACACGCCCTATTACTGTACGTACCACGCGGCGTCGCACGGACGCTGTGAGAGTCGGGATGGACGGAGATGAGAGAGGAATTTATCTATCACTGTCTCGTAGCTGCACTCGCTAGCGTCGCACGGATGCTGCGATCGGCTCGAGGAGGCATTCAGGGAGGGACGGTCTGGGCGGCCAGGAGGTCGGAGATGAGAGAATTGACCTGAACCGTTTCGGGCTCCCCTTTTTATGCCCCTTGATTTCGAAAAAAAATACCTGGGGTTACGTTATCCTGCACAGCCAATCAAAGTTTTGCTGTCCTTACATGAAGAGTTACATTTCGTTATTTTTCGGCCCATTGCCTCCGCGCCCGTACCCATTAATCCCTGACTCAGCCGGTTTAATCTGGGAGGGCGTCCGGCTGGCAAATACACACCCGGTGTGTGTACTTGGTCAGTGGCGTTAGGATCCCCCCCCCACCCCGCCCTCATTGTCTGCTCTGCTCACTTAATATTTCCCCACAGCCCTCTCCCTGATGTCGTGCTTGTGGAGTTGCTCCGCAGTCGTGCCACCAGTCATTTGCCACTGTCGATGTTTATGCTCACGATACATTAATCAAATTGTGCCCATCTGAATACGTTATTTTATTTTCATGCGTATGCTGTATATAATAGTTTCACGTGACCCCTGCAGCTGCTAGAGGCATTACGTTCAACAAAGCATTTAAAAATCCATTCTTGAATCGTTACTTCAAATTACAACGATGCATTGCATCGCGATGGCAGAGAATCGTTGCACGTCTGATACAATTGGATATCGCTCAACAGTCCTTACAGATATGTCAGCATCCCACTTGTTGTACTGCCAGCTAATGGCCAAATCTATACGTGACAAAGAGAAACCCATCGTAACAGACAAAAACAGCGGAGGCCGGAAATCCATAGGTTCATGGTCCACTTGTTATCCAGCAAATCGGGTATATCCAAGCACATAATGGTCTCTCTGCGATGCACCCAGATCTGGATTTCAGTTGTCCGCCCCTACCATGCCTGGTATTTGACAGATTTGGTTAAATTTCAACATAAATTTGCCAAGGTTTTTTTCTTAGGAATCAAACCCAAACCAATGAGTCCAAGAAAACATGGTGACTTTGACAACTGGTACATATCCAAATACAAAGAAGGGCCAGAAAACATTTACACGGTCTTATATTATGAGGTGCCACATGTCGATAGTGTAGTTACAAACAAGAATGCATCTGCTTTTTGTTGTTGTTGTCGTCGCTAATACTGTTGTAATATAAAATAGGGGGAAAAGTTGCGTTGTAATTTGCTTGTGTCAAGAGAATGAACTGTGCCACCCTGAAAGTTACAGTCGTGCCAAAACTAAGTTTTAACGAGTTTCTGCAATAGCGAATCAGTTTCTGCTGACATGCATCATTCATTTTACCCAGCGTCAGTGTGATCCACAGAGATTTGTGGCGGCCTGGTAAACATGATCATCATCGCAGCATATTTTTTGAGTCCTGTACCGTTTGTAATTTTTCTTAAACAATATTACATACATGATGCACATCATGTAAACATTGTATTTTATTCATTAATATGCTGCTTATATGGTATATATTTGGTTCTCGGGGTTCAACTCAATACTTCATTCGTCTGGGGTCAATAAAATCAGGGCCACTTTTTGGGAAGTTAACGGTTATGGTCCAATTGAGAGAATGGCCAACATCATGGAAATATTGAATTTCGGCTTCAGCCTCAGGACTGTCAATAATGTTTTGCATTTGTAGTGCCACTTGCTCAAGTACCTCAGCAACTCAAGGCGCCTTACATAACATCTCATCTCAAACAACCGAAGGGCAACCCCCATTGGCAGCTGTCCCCGTGAAACACAAGGAAATTTAGCACTGGCTTACGCGTGGGCATAGTCTGCGGGTAGGGGGCAATAATTATAACGTGTTATCCCAATGAAGTAATTTGCGGGTAATTTCTAGAATTTTACAATTTTGGACCTGGACGTTGGCACACAATGGCCTACTCATTTCTAATTACATCATGGAATATTTAACGCCCACTGTGATGCGGACAACATGTATTGTTTTGTAAATACACCCACAGTTTTCACCAGAGTGGCCCCCCTGTCCGGAACCGCAAACATCTGTACCGTCTCAGTAGAGAGCAGCTGTTGTAATACGTGTATCGTTATGCATTTGTAGAGACGTAAATAGCGTCTCTACGGCGTATAAGCCGACTACAACTACAACTGGTAAAGGAGTGTGCACTTACCTCTCGAGGGAGCCGACGGAGACATGGCGGAAAATAAAGCCCTTACAGAGCAGGGCCCCGTCGCAGAGAGAGAGAGAGAGGGGACGTGCCAACTCAGGGGAGTGAAGGGGGCCCGGAAACGGGGGCCCGGAGGACATGTGACGCTGGCTCCAGTTCCGTCTCGAGAGACCGAGGAGGGGGCGTGGCCGGAGGCGGAGCGAGGCCACGCCCCCTCGTGATGATAAGAGGGACGGAGGCGGAGCGATCGGGGTTGTCTGAGGGAAAGAGCGAACCGTGCGGCGTTGCTTCGGGGGTCTTGGAGCATCGGTCGTCGGGGACCCAGTTTACATAGAGACCTCTTTGGGGGTCTAGAGTGACCCTGAGTATTATTGTCCCGTAGCCCTGTTCGGTTGTGAATACATCGTGGTGCCTCCAGAATTCTGTGTGTGCCCCGTGAGACACACACTACACATTCTGTCCTTATTTTCTTACTCGGAATGTGTCGTATGGATAGGCTCATCCCTGTCACAGGAATGTGGACTTCCCCCCCACTGCCTCGGCTGTCAACAGCACGTGAGCACTGCCGCAGTGAAAATTTTATAAGAAATGACTTCAACTATTTTTTGACCGATGGGATTCTTACTATTGAGCTTATGTTATTTCATGGTTGTAGCCAGGAACACGGGAACACTGCTAGTGTTTGTGCACAGCGTCAATTGAGAGTGACTAAGTGATATCCTTTGCGAGTTTATGTTTTCATTTATTAATGAACAGGGATCATTCTCAACATCTGAGCTACAAAGCCTCATTAACAACGCTCAGATGAGAGTCGCCATTGGACTCATTATTTCCAGACAGTGTTACTCTTGTTTACATGTTCAGCAGTCACACGACCTTATCGGAAGCACACCTCTCCATCGCAATGTTTGTATGAAAGAACACTTTGTCAATGAGCACATTGTGTGCAGCACTTTAATGTCGCCATGTACTCTAAGCAAAAAAATTAAGCCATTAAGCAGTTGCATCAGGTGCTCTCAAATATGATTCATAATTAATGATGTGCCAACGTTTTATTATACATTGTATATATAATTAGAAGCTCAGCAATGTCTGAGGAGAATTGAAGACTAATTTTAAAAAATAGTGTGATGAAGTTGAGTAATTTATTAAATGTATTTCATATACATACAGTGGAACCTTGCCACAGTGCAGCAGGTGAATTCTAGAATACAAGGGCGCTGCGGTGGCTAGATGTTAACTACCTCGCTTGGTATGCAGGAGGTCGTGGGTTCAATCACGTCCCTGACGCCTGCTGTATGTTTGGAGTTTATATACACTCTCCCTGGGATCGCGTGGATTTTTCTTCGGGTCCTCCGGGTTTTCCCTTCACATTTAAAATCAACATGCGTTTAGACTATTTGGTTGCGATACATTTCCACGTGATAAGCCACTTTGTTGAGCTATCATTTGTGGCCAGGTCGCTTCTGAAAAAGAGCTATATAGTTCAGTGGGCCTTACCTGGTAAAATAAAAAATAGTTTAGTTTAATACTTAATTTCCTTAATCCCCCTGTGTCTGTCCACCCATCAGTGTATAGGCACACCATAGTCAGTCGATCAGGTTGCGTGTAGTGGGGTACAGCGTGGGTACTCTCAACCCTCCCAAAATGTGTGGCCAGCGTGTAAGTGGAGGCCAAAATACCATGTGTGAGAAGCTCTCTCCAAGAGCTCCCCTTAGTGAAGGCCCTTCTGCCAGCAGTGCCGGGAACAAGCAGTTGCATGGCTGCACCTTTTAATGTTACCTTCAGTGAGATACATTTTAAGTGCGGTATCTACTTTCGGCGAAGCTTCAAACACTATAATAATGTGCATGTAACCTGTGAGAGAATATGCCATTTGAACATTTCTCAAGGCAGTAGCTCCGGTCATATTCCTTACAAGCAGAAACTGGACGTTTTCTTAATAGTTTTTTACTAACTTTTTTTCATGCATAACTATTTTTCTTGCAGGAACCTCTCTTATAATCCTTCGCTGTCTATACACTCGCAGCAGTTTGACTTTTTGAAGAGCCTGGAGTCCTTGTAAGTATTTCATTTTGTTTTCTTTGGGATTATATCTGTCACGTTCTCATATTTCTTCCTACTGTATTAAGACAATATGCCCTGGTTTTTTAGTGCTTCTTCCGTGAGCAAAATGCTTACCACATCAACCTCATATTGCTCTTGGCCCGAGGCAAACGCAGCAGCTGTATGTGACATTTGTTAGCTTTAATTCACAGAATCTGTTTCTACTGAAATAGTGCACATGGTGAGATGTATTTTTAATTGTAAACAAATGCAGCTCAGAATGTTGCAAGTTCGAGTCGCACTAAGGTGTAGAGTCAGACTCTAAACCTTCTGTTCATAATAAAATGAGTACAGCACCACTCTGTGGGCAATCAACTTTGATTGGACATGCCCCTGCCATGTAAATGTGTCATTTCCATAACTGTCTCGAAACACTAATGAAAATAAGTACTGGCGAACACTATTTTGCACAGGAATACGCTTTATCTTGGTCTTGAGTAAAAGTTTAAACGACTTTTTTAAAATTCACCAATTGTATTCATCTCAATGAATAAACCATAAGTAGCTGTAAGGTAATTGTATTTTATTCATAGATAAATGCGTTGCGGATACAAAACTGAAAAGGCAATGTGTAACTTAATTTCATTATTTCAAGTTAGAGTGACCAAGTTTGGAATATAGCGAATTAATACCCCGGTTTATGTCTCCCCCGTTTCACAAATACGTCGTCACTTAATTGATGCCACGACTTGATTTGCATCACCTCAATCCACACTTACATCGCTGGCAGCATGGTCCGTCCTTTCTTGTTTTCCGTCGCCTCTCAACCTTTCGCTTCCACCACCTAACCTTGTAAATCACTTCGATTTACGTCGTTTCGATATCCGTCGTTGCACATTTCAGGAACTCATCCCAGACGTAAACCTGGGGGCATCACTGAACATCATACTCAAACAAAGTGCTTGCCACAAATAAACCACAATACCTTGCTGATCTCGTCACCTAGATTGAAAACTAATTTCTTGATAAATGGATTTTGTATTTAGTTATTTTTCTATCTACGTGACCTTACCGAAAGAACCAAAGAGAATATGCAATAAACGACTCAAACATATTTTGTGACCCTGAACGTAATTTTGTGAATTATACATATTCTGGTGCATTTATATATAACAATGCCTGGGCTATGAATACTTAAGTTAAGAATAGAGTTGTCATTTAGAATGGAGTAAAACAAAAATATATCTGACGAGCTAGTTCATGGACCGAGGGTACGCGCATTTCATACAAAATGGAATTAAATTGAGTTTTGTGCAGCTGTGTGTGGCCTATTATCCGTGGAAATGAAATGTATCAACGATTCTAAACTTCATTCTATAAATCATCACCGTGTACACCTCCAACATCACTTTGGACACTTTAGATTACCCAGTGTGGATAAGCAGTACACCCAGTCTCAGTGACAGATTTGTAATGACACAGTGCACATGTACAGTGGAAATTGTACATTTAATTTTACAGGCAATGCGATAAGACATCTCCTGCGAAGGAGACATTGGAGAATACAACAAAAAATATAAACTGAAGGGCAAAAAGAGAACAGTTCATAGTTAAAGCAGATATTGGACAAATCCAACATTCTCAATAGCCAAAATATGCAAATAAATAGAAACTATATTATCATAAAGTCATTAACTAAAACAGACACGTGCGCATCCATGACTTAATACAAGTATAATTGCATACTATTGGAGGAAAACATTTTTTATGGATACATTGTGGAAAATTATTTTGGCCCATAGGCAAAATTGCTTGCTTGCTCAATAACAGCGTATCGGTTGCTCTCGAAGCCACGAATAACAAGGTTTTTCTCCTCGGATACATTACACAGCTCTGCTTTGCCCCCTACAGGAGCATGGAAGGAATTGAGATAAACAACATTCAGAATCGAATGTTCAAGCCACTCCGGGCCCTCTCCCACATGTGAGTTCATCTTTCTTCATGTAGTTATTTTTTGTATTTTTTTAAGGATACATCTCTGGGCCAGGTTGGTGCGGTGCCAGAGATCAGTCTCGACCGAAAGGTTGCGAATTTAAATCCTAGACGGCGGTCAACTCAACTCATCCACCCTCTCGGGCAGATGTTGGGACATCAATCGCGGTTATCATATGGAGACACTGGTCCTCCCCATTAAAATGCGGAATTTACGTATGCATGTTGAACTTCTTTCACACCGTATGTAGCCAACCGTGCTAATCGGAGGTGTGGGAAATATACGTCACAACCTCTGTACATGTGCATGACGCAATGGTCCTTTGAGCAGGGTCACCTCTTGCATATGTCGTTGCACCTGCCAATCCAGAGAAAACTACAGTATTCCCTCGTTATTCACCAACTTGCTAGACGCGACTATTGCTGTCGGCAAATCGCATCTGAAAAACTCAACACGACTCTGTAGAGAGGTGAGATAAAGTGATGAGAGAAAATGCTTTCTGAGAAAGTGATGAGAGATAGGGTGATGAGATGAAGTTATGTGTTACGGTCATTTTCATGCATTTAAAAGCATATTTACGCATTCATTTAAGGTAATCCGTACGCGACTATCGTTATCCACAAAATGTGCTATTCACGAGTATCTCCGGAACGTATCCCTCGCGAATAACCAGGGAATTCGGTACGTACATTTTTATCATTTATGAATGGGGTGGAGCGATGGTGCGGCAGTTGTCACACTCGTTTCTTTATAAACCCCCAGCGACCTGAGCTTCATTCCCAGATACGGCTAACATCAGTAGTGAGTGGGATCTAGAATTTGTTCCTGCCCCCCCTCTACCCGCACTCACCGACCGACACTGACCAGCATGGTAAAATATGGTCAGGAAACATATACAACCAAAAAGTGTGTTGCGGAGGACTGGATGCAGTGATGGGTTGACAAAGGGTGTTATGTAATTTACAATATAACTTTTATACATCGTATATTAGTTTAACACGTAGGCTTTCGCGACCAATATTATTCATAATAAAGGTTTTTGGGTTAGATCGCGTTATTTATAAATGTGTCGTAACCCTCCACCACCCGACACGGCCAATCAGCAATAGTAAATATCAATTATATCATCAATGATGGTCTTCGTTGTTAACTACTTTCGCAAAAACATTGACCTATGGGCCTATGCACTGCAAAAATGTAGGAGGTGCAATTTCCATATTACTTCTTTGAGTTCTCTCGCCTCTTTTAAACTCAACCACCCCCTTTTGCAAAGGACAGAGGCCGCTGTCACTCACTTGGAGAGTAGAACCCCGAACCCTCAGCCAGTGACATGAGAACTCGTGAGCGGCAAGCAGCCATGAAATGCAACGTGAAGAATGCTCATTTGAATCCCGGTCCATGTTTACACCAAAGTTTTGGTCATGGCAACTTTCCCGTCCGAGGCAGAGCGCGAGTGGCCAGATGCCCGGCGGAGTAGCCTTCAGCGGCAGATCGCACGCAGGGGCCCTCGGTGACGTCATCTGGGTTCATCGACGGTTTGCTGTTTGCAAGCGCGCGGATATAAAAAGACGCGATGGTTGTGAAGTGTATTGGCCATTCAAAGGCATCGCCATTAGCACTGCTGACTCATCCGTGCGCTTAAGTCTTAACAAATCACAACTCGCCGGGAATAATGGTTCTGCTATTGCAAATGCTTTGTTTTCTTATTTGCACGTGACATTTCCAACCAAGGGAAGCTATAATTTTATGGTGAATGTACTATTTTGTTGGTTTTTTTCATACATATTTACTCGTGAGATGATAGTGAATTATTTAAAAGGAAAAAAAAAACTGACATTTTCAGCGATGTCTTGTGTTGAACAATAGCTATGGACATGGTTTCGCTTAATGCATTCCTTTATTAAATGTAGATGGGAGACAGGGGGTTGTGATGTTGTTGTATACAGCCATTAAGCACATCTATTTAATTAATGAACAGATAATTACCTTAATTGCGCTCCAGATGTGCGGTTTCGTAATGACCGTAAAACAATGTTTGTAAGACTTGGATCTGAACTGCACGGCACGTGCTGCGCCCTTCTTATTGAGAGTGACGTTGACAAACCATCCACGACCCCCAACCCCCGAAGCCTCAATGCAAGTTTGGCTCCCCCAGTGCAGTGCTGCTACCCGTAGACCAACAGCACTCGCAGCAGGGCAGCGGGACCCTGGACGGTCGTAAACAATAGCAGAGGAAAACATTACTAACCAACGACATCCACGAGCGATGGTAGAGGCATCCTGCCAGCCACCAAACCCTGCACCGCAGCATGCCCTACAAAGAGGTGTAACGATTCTTCTGCGGACGGTGATTCGACAAATGTTTTAGGATTCAAGGGGGCATGATTTGGTTTTAAGAATGTACTGCAAATATATTTCTGCCTAAATTTGTATGGCCTTACTCTTTGGTTCTTTCGGTAAAGTCACGTAGAAAGAAAATAAATTAAATAATAGAATACGACGTTTAGATTGCAACACAAGCAACCGTCATCAGGTATGATTGAATGAGAAAACAAACCTGGTAAACTTAGAAATGTAATGCAATACAACACAGAGAGTCGGCTAACACAACATTTAACACCCTACCTGGTTGATTACGTTCTTCCAAAGATTTCTAAATTTGAGAGAGAGACAAAACACAGACACGGAGACACATAGAGAGACACACAAGCAGAGAGAGACAGACAGAGACACACAGAGAGCGACACACACAGAGACACACAGAGAAACAACGACTCTGTGTCGAGGCCTTATATATAGAGAGAGGGGGGTTTTGGGCAGAGAAATTAGCATGTTAATGAGAGCGGCCGGAGGAGAGAAACTGGACCTATAGATAAAGAAAATTTTAACTAGACAAACATGATCAAATTTAGAGAAATAGGAAGTTTGAGAAAACAAACTTAGTACAATTTGGAAATGTAATGCATTGCAACACAGAGAGTCGGTTAACACAACAGTTAACACTTTGCCTGGTTGATTACGTTCTTCCAATGATTGTTAAATTATTAGTTAAGTGTGAGTTGTGTGGAAATCCTCCCTGTAGAGGTGGTTCAAACTTGATTTGAAGCTTTCGTGACTTTACCGAAAGAACCAAAGAGTAATTCCTGCAGTCACGAAAGCTTCAAATCAAGTTTATACCTCCCCCCTCATTGGTACGTTTTGATCGCTCAGCTTAGCTTAAACGTAGCAGCATATCGTGTGCGCACAATTTGCGTTAATGGAAAAAAGACGTCAGTTCAATCTTGAGTAATATTATGTAGGTATGTTTAGCATTTAAACAATTATATTAATTGATGCATCGTTACACCCCTTTGTTTCCGACTCTGACATCACCCACATTAACACGTATCAAGCTAGCTGTAAAAATCACCATATGGGCAGACCCCTTGGTGGACATTTGCCTAGATAATCCAAAATTCCACTGTCAGTCTTATCACTCACATCCACAGATGAGACCACGTTATCCCATGACTCCATTTCCTCCACTGGCTCCTAATCCAATGCCCGTTTAATTTCAATACTATGCTCGTAATTTTTCAGATCCTTAATGGATTCGCCCCCTTTTCCACACTACCTCTCCCCCACTGATCTCACTCTACTCCCCTACACGCACCCTCTGCTCCAGCAACCAAGGCTTTCGGTTGAAGCTCCCAGTGAACTTTTGCTAAGTTGGAGGTTGCCCAGAAATATCTGCAGTCAACTCACTGTGCCTATTCAAGTTCAGGCTCCAGAACTTTTTCACCTCTGTCTATAACCGACTGCCTTCCACTATAAAATAAAACATGCATGCTGTTTCGGTACAACGGCGTGCGCTGCCATTGCATTCCGGTGCCGCACGCATACAAATTGTAATGTTTCAAGTTGATTTTGTTTAACCAGGTGGGAACTGAAGAGACCAGGATGGGTCTCATTTGTAAGTGACCTGGGGCATTAGTCCACCAGTAGGGGGTGATGACGGTTATGTTTAATCTCAATTGAGTAATTTACGGGTACATTTTTATTTTTACGTGGAAAACGTTGACCTTGATGCCGGCCCAAAATTGCCTACTCTTGCAAATGACGTCAGGGGATCTTTCACCTCCACTGTGAAGCAGACTGCGTGTGGTATTAGTATTGTTTCGGTTAATACCACACCGCAGTATTAATCAGGGCAGCCCACTGAATTCAACACCGTGAGCCTTTGAAACAACAAGCGGCGAACGCGCTATCGCTAGGCTCCGCCACCGCGAAATAACGTATTGTACGTGTCTACTGTGCATCAGTTGCAGAACGAGATAAACGGCAACAAAGTGTGGTGGTATTAATGCCACTTTCCGTATTGGTCCCTTGACCTTGTCTGCATGATGGTTTATCTGCACTGGATGTAGAGTTATTTCCGTACGACTGTCTCCATCCCGTTAGCACACGAGCTACCGCCCTTGACATCATCGCCTTAATTTGCAAATCCAGTGCATTAATTGCACCTGATTGAACTGATACGTTGGCTGCAATTGAAGCAATTAATGCTGGCATTAGCTTCACGTTTACCCTGATCGAATTAAAACACGTTTGATTGAGCGCAATGTGACATTTGTAGGCTTGTGTTTTAATTTTCGGCGTTAATTAAACATTACCTGTTTTGTTCCGTAAAAAAAACTTTTTTGAGACTAGTTTTTAGAACGTGTCTGCTTTTGGAACAATTGTTTCTCTCAGTGCTGGGCTGCACTTGTATAAAAACAACACAAGCCCCCATGAGGGGATAGCACTGAGAATACGGAGAGAGAGATCTGCAGCCTATTCGCTCGGGGTATGCAGTTTGTGTGTGGGGGGGGGGGGGGGAGGGGGGTGAAAACACCCCTTTGATCCTTTTTGGAAATTGGAAATCCAATCCAGGATTCGATCCAGGAATCAACTGAATCAGTCAGAATCAATCAGTTGATCCAATCTGGCACGCAGTTTGGATTGGCTTTTA